TTTTAGCTTTTCCATGATGAAGTGTTTGTCTACCTCCACGTGCTTTGTTCTGTCATGAAGCCTCCACGTGCTTTGTTCTGTCATGAAGCACTGGATTGTGAGCGATCGAAATAGCAGCTTTATTGTCACAGTACAATTTCATAGGCAATGGATTAGAGACCTTTAATTCATCCAATAGTTTCTTAATCCATAACACCTCACAAATTCCATGAGCAACTGATCTAAACTCGGCCTCTACGCTGCTTCTCGCTACTACATTCTGTTTTTTACTCCGCCAGGTGACAAGGTTACCTCCAACAAAGGTGCAGTAGCCAGAAGTTGACCGTCTATCAATAGCACACCCAGCCCAATCTGCATCAGTATAGGCTTCGACTTGCAAATGCCTACGATTTTTTAACAATAGACCTCTTCCAGGGGTCCCCTTTAGGTATCTAAGAATTCTATAGACTGCATCAAAGTGTTCTCGTCCAGGTGAATGCATGAACTGGCTAACCATGCTGACTGCAAAAGCTATATCTGGAAGTGTATGTGACAAGTAGATCAGTCTTCCAACAAGTCTTTGATACTGCTCTCTATTCAGAACTTCTTCATCTTTAGAATGCTGCAGCTTAAGGTTGGGCTCAATGGGTGTCTCGGCTAGTTTACATCCTAGCAGACCTGTCTCACTAAGTAAATCAAGAACATATTTACGTTGATTCACAAATATACCTTCTTTGGATCTAGCAAACTCCATTCCAAGAAAGTATTTTAATGCACCCAAATCCTTGATCTCAAAGTCAGCTGTAAGTCTCTTTTTCAGTCTCTCCAATTCTTCATTGTCATTACCTGTCAAGACTATATCATCCACATAGACAATTAACACTGCAACCTTACCTTATCTACTTTGTTTATAGAACATGGTTTCGTCAGCTTGGCTCTGACAGTAGACACAATTCTTCACAGCTCTCCCAAATCTCTCAAACCAAGCTCTAGAGGACTGTTTGAGACCATATAAAGATTTCTTCAGTCTACAGACTTTATTAGGTCCCAATTTTCCCTCAAACCCAGGTGGTAGATTCATAAAGACCTCCTCCTCAAGATCTCCATTTAAAAAGGCATTTTTTACATCTAACTGGTGTAATGGCCAGCTAAAATTCACAGCCAAAGATAACAAAATTCTGATTGAGTTTATCTTGGCTACAGGAGCAAAAGTTTCTTGATAATCAATTCCATAGGTCTGGGTGAACCCTTTTGCTACTAGTCTTGCCTTGTACCTCTCTATGCTACCATCAGCTTTACATTTCACCGTAAAGACCCACTTGCAGCCTACTGTTCTTTTCTCCTTAGGTAAATCAACTATCTCCCAAGTACCACTTCTTCTAAGAGCATTCATCTTTTTCATCACTGCTAACTTCCAATTCGGATCATCAAGAGCTTCCTAAATGTTTCTCGGGACAAATAAGTGTGAGATTTTTGAGGCAAAAGCCCTATGAGTATGAGAGAGTTTTTCATAAGAAAGGCATTTGGCAATGGGATATTTTGGATTTGGATATTTGATTTGAATACCTTTCCTAACAGCTATAGGAATATCAAGGTCTGATGGTTCTTGAGTAGGAGAAGCAATAGGAACTGAAGATGAGTTAGGATCAGAATTACCTATGATATCTGGAAGCCAGTTCCCGGAGATTGAGATTGATCAATTCCAAGAGTAATAGGCTGACTTTGACTCTTTTGATGAAGTATTCTCCGAGTATAAACTAGAGGCTCAGTATTGGGAACTTTTGTGCCCGGTTGTAGTGATTTTTCCCCTCTTTCAGATACAATAATGTTTGGCACTATATGACTAGGATTCTCTTCATTGTTTTCATTGGTTTTATCACATTGTTCTTGACTTTGAATTTCGGGAATAACAGTAGGATGAGGTGAAGGAGTCAAAATCACATTTAGTAAAGGAGTAGGAGATAAATCCTAAAAATTTTCTTCCACAACCCAGTCAACAAATCTGACAACCCAAGCCCCCAGTACCGATTCTCACTCAGTTCAGATCACCAATATTCACCTTAATGGTGACAATTATTTACGATGGTCCCAGTCCGTTAGATGTACATCAGAGGGTGGGGAAAGATTGGGTACCTAACGGGAGACAAGAAGGCACCAGCATCGGAAGACCCAACATACGTGACCTGGGATGCAAAAAATTCAATGGTGATGACTTGGCTTGTGAACTCCATGGACGAGGATATTAGCTCCAACTATATGTGTTACTCCACGGCTAAGGAGCTTTGGGAGAACGTGAATCAGATGTACTCTAATTTAGTAAATCAGTCTCAGATCTACGAATTGACTCTAAAACTTGGTGAGATTCGGCAGGGAGAAGACTCGATCACCAAGTATTTCAGTTCATTAAAGCGCATTTGGCAGGACATGAATTTATTCAATGATTATGAATAGAAATCCACTGAAGATGCCAATCAATACAAACGAACCATGGAGGCTCATCGTATTTACAAATTTCTTACTGGGCTCAACATAGAATTTGATGAAGTATAAGGATGGATCATTGGCAGGATTCCACTTCCTCCAATTGGTGAAGTGTTTGTTGAGGTTCGAAGAGAAGAGAGCCGCAGATATGTAATGTTGGGGAAGAAGACTACCAGCGGACCTGTTAAAAGTTCTGTCCTTATTGTTGCCGAGACTGCTGCTAATAAAGCAGTCAATTTTCAGCTAAAACTTGAAGAAAAGCCACGGGTTTGGTGCAACTTCTGTAACAAACCACGCCATACTCGAGAGAATTGCTGGAAAATCCACAGAAAACCAGCAAATTGGAAGAGTAGCAAGCCTGGTGACAGAAATAGGCGTGTGGTTCCTACTGCTAATGAAGTTGAGACAAGTCCCTTAAACAAGAAGTAGATGGATCACCTTCTGAAGCTGCTGAAATTTAATTCCTCATCTGGTATTCCTAATGTTTCTCTTGCACAAACAGGTAGTGCACTTCATGCTCTTTCTTGTTGTTTAAATTATACTCCATGGATCATCGATTCTGGAGCCTCTGATCATATGACCAGCCTTTCCAATCTTTTTAGCACTTACTCACCATGTTCTGGTCTTGAAAAAATTAGAATTGCAGATGGTAGTTTCTCACCTATTGCAGGAAAAGGTTTGATAAAATTATCCGAGAATATAAATCTTAAAAATGTTCTCCATGTCCCTAAACTAGCCTGTAACCTTTTGTCTGTGAGTAAACTAACCAAAGAATCTAATTGTCATGTAATTTTCTGTGATTCTTACTGTGAATTTCAGGTTCAGAGCTCAGGGAAGAAGATTGGCAGTGCTAAGATAATAGATGGACTTTACTACTTTGATGGGGACTTCTCCAGTAATAAAAAGGCTCAGGGCCTTAGTAGTGTTAGTTCCAACTCTGTTTATGAACAAATAATGTTTTGGCATTTAAGACTAGGACATCCTAGCTTTCCATATCTTAAACATTTGTTTCCTACTTTATTTAAAGGTTTGGATTGTTCAACGTTCTATTGAGAAAGTTGTTGCTTATCTAAGAGTCATCGTACTACTTATTTGACAAAACCTTATACTTCTTCAAAACCATTTTATTTAATACATAGTGATGTTTAGGGACCTTCAAGAGTCACTACTATCTCTAGGAAAAAATGGTTTGTTACTTTTATAGATGATCATACCCGTTTATGTTGGGTTTATTTGATGAATGAAAAGTCTGAGGTTGGAAAAAATGGAATTGCTGAAAGAAAAAATAAACATCTACTTGAAGTGGATTGTGTTATAATGTTTTCAATGAATGTTCCAAAATATCTTTGGGAGGAAGCTATTTTAGCAGCTTCGTATTTGATTAATAGAATGCCTTCACGTATTTTAAAATATAGCACGCCATTAGAATGTTTCAAAAGAACTTTTCCATTATCAAGGATATACTCGGATTTACCTCTAAAGGTTTTTGGCTGCATAGCTTTTGTTCATATACCCAATAACACTCAGTCCAAACTTGATCCTCGAGCTGAAAAATGTGTTTTCATAGGGTATGCTTCTAATCAAAAGGGATATAAGTGCTATAATCCCCAAACAAGAAAATTTAATGTAAGTATGGATGTCTCTTTCTTTGAAAATAAATCCTACTTTCCCAAAAATTCTCTTCAGGGGGAGAATGAGGTGGAACCGTCAGACATGACTGATCAGTGAAGAAATTGTGCAGAAAAGAAAATTAGGGTTTTTTTTTCCCTTAGGGTGGCTCTGATACCATATAAACTATAAAGGAAAGAAAAATAGAAAAATCTTTTTTTTTGTATTAGCACACAATTCACGAGTTTACACAAGTTCTCTTTATAAGAGAGAATATATGTACATACCTAGCTGGCCTATTTAATAATTTTCTATTTTACAACATTTGACCAATATTCTATTTGCAGAAAATATTCTCCAAATATTATATTTACAGCTAATAATATTTGGTAGTATTACTACCAAATCTTTCCTTTTCAACAATTTGCTTGTGCATTCTTGAGTGATGAGACCATAAATTCTTTTGTTTAGCTTTTCAACCAATTTTTGGAAGTTATGTTGGGTGATGCTCCTAAGATGATTATTATTGATCAAGATCCAGCTATGACAAATGCAATTTCACAAACTCTACCAAAAACATTTCACAGATATTGTAGTTGGCACATTTTAACAAATTTTCTGAGAAATTAGATTCAATTAAATATAGTGCTTACTATAAAGAGTTTTCGAATTGCATTTGGAAATCAGAGACTAAGGAAGAGTTTGACTTGAAATGGATAGATCTTGTTGGGAATAGTGGATTAAATGACAACAAAAGGCTACAATCAATGTATCAAATTCGTTCAAAATGGGTGCTGGCTTATGTAAATCATGTTTTTTCGGCTGGCATGTCAAATAGCCAACAAGCAGAAAGCTCCCACTCGTTTCTCAAAAAATATGTTTAAAAAAATAATTCATTGGTGGATTTTATGATTCAATTTGGTAGGGGACTTATGCGTCAACGTCATGAAGAATTAATGGCAGATCACAAAGATATGGTTGAGAAGCCTAAAGTGAAAATGACCCATGAGTTTTTGTTGCATGTGGTTGATATCTATACTCGTGAAATGTTTTATAAATTTCATGATGAGATCTTGGAGAGCTTGCCGTATAGGTTTGAACTTCTGAAGAAGGATGAAGATCACAATATATACAAGATTCAAAGAAAAAATGTCGAACATTATCCATTGCGAGAAATTCATTATGACAAGGTGTTGGATTTTGCTTCATGTACTTACAAAAAATTTGAGAGTTCGGGAATTCCTTGTTGGCACGTGTTAGGGTACTTGCACAAAAAACATGATTATGAAAAATTGCCAAGTCAATACATTTTGAGTAGATGGACAAAAAAGGCAAAATTAGGTACAGCGGTTGATGAGAGCGGCATTCAGATAATTGATGATAGATCATATTTACTTAAACGCAATGAATTAATTCAACTAGCTTTGGATGTGGTTGATAAGGCCCTTACTAGTGGAGAAGCAACTAAGGTTTATACTGATGCTTTGGGTAGTGCACGTGATAAAATCAATCAAATGGTTGGTTGTAGTACAAGTTTAGTTGATGTTATAGAAAGAAGTCAAATTCAAAGTGTAGTTGCTTCAAGTAATGTGAGCTGCAATTATTACAGTGAACCGAGCCAAGTACGTGCAAAAGGGTGTGGCAAAAGGCTTAAAGGAGGGAAAGCGAAAGCATTAGGAAGGGCCAAAAATTTTAAAGCTAGACAGTGCAATGGGTGTGGTTTTGTTGGCCAGTCACACAATAAAAGAAATTGTCCAATGCTTACAAATCGGTAAGAAACTAATAATTTTCCATTTATTTTGATAGTTACTAAAATGTATGTAAATCTTGCATGATTTTTGGTTGGTTTTTATTGTAGATATTTATTTCCTAACGACGATGCAACTTTAGGCCAAAGTTTAGATATTGATACTTATTTATCCACATGTGGTTGCGAAAGCCTTTTATAAAGAATGTTTTAATTTGGAAAATCATCTAACATTTTGTTTATTATTTCAGGAATATCACTATAACTTGTACGTGAAAATGTTTGATAGGATTTGGATGTATTTGCTTGTTTGAAGGGATTTGGATGTATTTGATTTCTTTTTATGCATTACTTGTTCTAGTTGCGAAAGACTCTTATAAAGAATGTTTAATGATTGTATTAAAACTCTAAATTTGATTTGATTTGATTTCAATTTATATAAATGTGTATGGATGAATGTGTTTAATGATTATAAATAAATATCCAATTCGGCTTTGCTTAGACAAGCAGCTTCTAATTATGAACTGAATAAACTCTTAGAGCAATGAGCTCTTCTTATTAGTGGTAGAAGTTGGTTGACGAATTTCCAACTTTAATGTTCAAGCTTCCCATACTTAGTGCAGTCAACCATCACAAGCAGTCCTCACTATGCTTTGATTATATGCGGTGGTGCGTGTTGTATTCTTTAAATTTTCTTCAAGTCGTTTGGGCTTGAGCTTCTTTCCCATTTATCAGATTACAGTGGTTGTAAATGCTTCTTTAGCACAATCACACTTTATATAGAGTGTGTGACCCTTTTTTCCATAGTATTTGAGGTAGAAAGGTCAGCATTAATTTCACCACAGATCTTATTCTACAGTAAAAGAGTGGGGGTTGATAGAAAATGAGAGTTAGAAAGTTGAATGTGTAAGGTTTTTCTTTATCCAAAGGTTATATTTGTGTGTGTATTGTTTTCTCAATTATCTAGCATTCAAGAAGTTTATTGAAGAACACTAGTGAAGATTAAAACTAATGTTGATTTAAGATTGAATAATGTTGTTTTCTATCAGTCAGTAAAGTGATTTATTGTTTCCTTTCCAGCAAAAGATGTAGTGAGATCTATTTTAAGTTGGGGATCTTTCATTTAACTACATGAATTATTGGTGTATAAGTTGTATTTAAAAAATAATAATAAAAATAAAAATATTGTACTAACTAAGGCAAACGCCCAAACAAAAGGAATCAAACCACAAAGCTCAAAGGCTCTATTTTTTAGTACAATGCCCACAAGACCAACCCCTTGAAAAGAAACAAAACCCAAAAGCAAATTCAAAGGCACTAACAAAAGCTAAAAAGTGACATGCAACCGTCAGGCCATCAAGCGAAAATTCCGCTAAACAAGGCGTCGTCGACTACGTGCCACCAACCAAACGCCCAAAAGAGTGTGAGTATCACCATTCCTCCTCTAAAACCGCCATGGCTACATGAAATTGGAAGAAAAAATAATGGATAAACCCATCAAAGGAAAAAAATTAAGAGAGCAAAAAAATTAAAATTAAAAATAAAAAATAAATAAGAGAGCAACAGTTAATTTGGTCATAAATTTGTAATCATTGCTATGAGTTGTATGCAGTAGAATATTAAAATTGTTTTGATTCTTTTAAAAACAGATCTTGTGTTTTTCTAACTTTCTTTATTTTAGCAATTAATAAATTAATATCATGCAATATAAAATAAAGCAAAATAAAGTTAGAGATGACACCAAGATTTTAGCGAGGAAACCCAGTTGATAAAATATGTCAACTGTTTGCGTGAGAAAAACCTCGTGGACTGTACAGTCCAAAGTAAACCGATCCACTATGCTTAAAATATAGTATACTGAACTTTGACTCTGTCTTACACCATATTGTTCTACCAAACACCAATTGCTAACAATCCTCTGGCTTTGCAACTCCCCATCCAATAGTAACTTGACCTTAGGTTTATGCTTGATATTTGTAGAAAAGTAGCAGGTAGATTAGAAAACCCTTTCAAAGTGCGATCGCTTTTACTTCTTATTCTTCAATCGTTTGAATTCAATGTAAAAGTAGATCTGCTTTTGTCTGATCGATATAGATGCAACTGTATGATCACAATCAGGATTCGAACAACACAACTCTAAACTCACTAAGTGTTTATGTGTATATGTTCTAGAAAGACAAATAGAAAATTCTCTAAGAATTCTTGAGATAAAAATCTTCCTAAGGCTTTTTAAGAATAATAAACTGATAATACAAAAACCGTAAATAAACTAATGTATATGAAAAGGTTTATATAGAGTATTTAATTCTCTAATCCCTCTGAAAATAAGGAAAAATTTGTACATAGGATTTGGTACAATTCTAGACCAATTAGGAAACAAATCAGGATAAGGAAACTAAAAGTTGTATTATGATCAAGACACCTTGAACAGGTTCAGAGGGGCTGATCCGGTTCAAGTTTAGCAGCAACTAAATTCAAGGCTTACTTGAGTTCTTGAACCCGGTTCAAGTTGACCAAAACTTGATACTGGTTATTTTCAGCCTAAAAACATTCTACGGGCAGTTCTGAAAATATGGAAAGTGTAGAATGTGTCCTAAGCTATTTAGAATCCTTCCTAATGTGTTGTCTTGCCTTTTTCTTCAAAAAATCTTCAATCATGGTAAGTTTGAACAACTTTTCAGTTCAGTAGTCACTGTCAAACTTGATAACTTGCAAACCAAGTAACTTGAATTACAACTCGACTTAGACTTGTTTTGTTTACAATAATTGCCAAAAATAAAATAATATCTCACAATCTCCCCCTTTAGCAATTTCGTGACAAAACCCTAAAAATAATTTTTGCAATCTACCCAAAGCAGAAAAGTAAATTACATTTTTTGTTCAAAGGCAAAAACATGGAATATGATCACTTTTCTCTTTTCTTCTTGGATACACGACTTGACCTGATTTCTTGCACACTATCAAGCAACAACTACCGGTGAAGTTTAATAAATAAAAATTTATAAAAACTCCCCCTTAAGTATATATCCAGAAATTCCCAAAAAAAAAATATCATATCATCTCTCTCCCTTAATATCTCACTATGATCTCCCCCTTTTGTAACAAATTGTCAAAGCATGGTAGATAAATAAGAGAACAAATAATCCCTATCCAAACAAGTCATTAAGCATATACCAAGAATATCCAAAAATAATGACAATGTTAACAACAACCAAACAAAACATGGTGTCATGATGCATGAAAAATTAACACAAAAGTCAGCATCATTGTCTTTTCAACCACTCTGTCAGAAAAACATCATCTTTAGTCTTCACCACTCTCCTCCTCATCTTCCTTATCCACATCTAAATACACACCCCCATCCTCATTATCTTCTTCATCTTCAGCTCTCAGTGATGGATCTGGAGGTGCAGGCCTGTAGACATCCTCATCCAGAACCCCTGACTGCTGTTTTCTCATCTTATTCATCTGTAGTTTGATATCTCGAATCTCAACCATCATCCTATCAAACATAGAAGTCTAATGCTAAAGTAGATGAGAATACATGATGTTTGCATCTGCTCGAGTGAAATTTCCTTTTAGAAGAAATAGATGAGTAATTTATGGCGCTTGTAGCGACCTCTCATCAACACTTCTCCAAGCTTTTCTTGCATTCTCCCTAACAGTCTTAGACTTATTCAAGGTATGAGGACCCAATTCAGTCATGATTTCCTCCAAGGGCTTATAATAAGCCCTTGGAGGAATCTGGACATTCTTCTTCTTGAAGATTTCCATGATAATCATTGGAAAAAGAGAGGAATACTTTCGCGAGTTTTTCTTGTAATGAGCTATCATAAGCTGCACAATAGATGATACAAGCAGAATAGTCTCATTAATAGCAAGAAAATAAAGCACTTGTACTCGATCAAGATTTATGTCATCTTTCTTTCCGAAGTAGCCCAGATTTGCCATAGCAAACAAATTGAAGAAAGAAGTTTCATCTGTCAGAAATCGAGCTGGAATACTGTCTTGATTCAGAAAAGAGTTCAGCACACAAATCTTTGAAACAATCCGGGAAAAATCTAGACCCATGATTGTCAAAGGTAGAGTCTGTCCTGTCAATTGACTGTCTAGAAGGTCTAGGATAGCTTTAATATCCTTCTTGTCTACAATATAACCAACTCCAAACATAGATATGATGAAGTAGGAGTCATGTACCTCATGAATATTTGCATAGAAATAACACACCATATCCGGACAGTAAAAGCTTTTGCTAAGCTTATGATCGGTTGGTCAATCATACATCAACCTTCGCAATAGCACGAATCATTGTAAAATAGGGCTATTGGTCGGGTAAGTCGAACCACAGGGACTACGCTAGTCTAATACAACCTAAGAGTCTAGATTACTTTTAGAATGATGAGGGGGTATATAGAGTTTTGTTGGTTTGTCACTTAGTCACTAGAATTGAAATGTGCTTAAAGAAATAAATGTAAGGAATTTAAGATGAAGAAGTCTAGAAAAGGAGGCTAGGGAAATGAATCCACCTCCATCCCTATACACATGCTAGGTTAAGATTAATTTAAGGGGAAAACAACATATATGATAGTCATGATACATAACAAAACTAGGTTGCTATAATATCCTTAAGAAGTTCATTTAATTAGAAAGACAAGAATAAACCATCAAAGGTTCACATGATCAACTACCTAAACTAAAATGTAGCTTAGAACATGCTTACTAAGCCAAGGATTATCAAGCCCTAATTTAAATGGTGAATGCACATAAAGCTAAGAATCAAGTATAGCCCATCAAAGGGAAACCCTAAGCCATGAACTATCTAGGTTCTCCAACTCCATGCCATTAAAACCATTCCATGATCTAACTTCCATTGTCACCATGGAAGTGCAAGCAATATGATTAAGAAAGGCAACCATCCAAGACAAGATGAGTAACTCACAATAATCATTTAAAACATTCAACATTCATTACAACAAAAGTGAGGCTCTTGACCATGGAAAGACTATCAAAAATACATTGTAATCCCCA